CATTTGAAGTCAATGAAAACCATACCTCTCTAGATGTGATTTTGGTTTGTTGATAAGAGGAACTATATTTGTCATAGTGTTTAGAGTATTTGATATTTCGGAGGAAATTTCCTATTTGTGGCTAGATATGTTATCCCCTCTGAAAAACATTTTGTTCATGAATTCTACTTAATTCAAGTTTTCGAGCTTTGTAATGACTTGAGAAGGTAGATCTAGTATACAGGATTTTTTTTTTTTTGAGATGGGGTGTCACTCTGTTGCTCAGGCTAGACAGCAGTGGCATAGTCATGGCTCACAGCAGCCTTGACCTCCCCAGGCTGAGGTGATCCTCCCACCTCAGCCTCCAAAGTAGCTAGGACTACAGGTGTATACCAACATGCCCAGATAATTTTTTTTTTTTACTTTAGGTGTATACTATATCCAGCATTTCTCCCCATGTTATCCCTCCCCACCCTTCCAACCCCTGCTGTCCCTCCCCTACCCCCACCAAATTGCCCCTAGTGTGAGATGCTCCCCTCCCCGTGTCCATGTGTTCTCACTGTTCAACATCCACCTATGAATGAGAACATGCGGTGTTTGGTTTTCTGTTCTCGTGTCAGTTTGCTGAGAAGGATGGCTTCCAGATTCATCCAAGTCCCTACAAAGGACATGAACTCATCATTTTATAGCTGTGTACTATTCCATGGGTGTATATGTACCACATTTTCTTTGTCCAGTCTATCATTGATGGGTATTTGGGTTGGTTCCAGGTCTTTGCTATTGTACACAAGACTGCAATGAACATATGTGTGCACGTGTCTTTATAGTAGAACAATTTATAGTTTTTTGGGTATACACCCAGTAATGGGATTGCTGGGTCAAATGGAATTTCTATTTCTAGGTCCTTGAGGAATCGCCACACTGTCTTCCACAATGGTTGAACTAATTTACACTCCCACCAACAGTGCAAAAGTGTTCCTATTTCTCCACATCCTCTCCAACATCTGCTGTCTCCAGATTTTTTAATGATCTCCATTCTAACTGGCATGAGATGGTATCTCAATGTGGTGTCGGGCTAATTTTTATTATTAAGAATGCCCTCCATTGAAACTCCCTTGTTGGTTTTTTAAAAATAGAATTGTCAGAAAACACAGGAAGGTAATGGCATGTGACAAGTCTTTGAGAAACTGGGAGGGCTGGTCCCCTGAGATCTTAAGGGATGGAGCAGAGACGGACAGATTAGGTACAGAGGAGGCCACAGACATGACCTGGAACTTGTCGGCATGTTGTCTCTGGTGAGCCCTCTTCTACGGCTCATGGAGGGTTAAGGAGCGCCTGGGCTGTTGCCATTTCTCAGTCAAACCAGCTCCCATCATCATGGTTTTCTCCCTTGCTGTTTCTGGTTGTTGAACCCCAAATATATGATGCACTGAAAGGGTTCAAATAATTTTAAAAATTAAATGATTTTTTAAACCCTGTTTTAAAGCCAAGATATTAGCTACATGTGACCACCTTTCCGTTAGGATGTTTGTGCATTTTTTAAAACCAGTTTTGGAAAGCTTTGTGGATATGATAGATATTAACATTTTATGTGTCAAAGGCATTGAGGTTTCTTTCTCCAGTCTATTTCACCCTTCAACTTTGTTTTTTAAATTTATTTGCCAGAAAAAAATGTACAGATGTTTTAGGTTGTCAAAGAGGTATGTTTGAAAAAACCTGGGAATTTCTATCCTGGTTTCTATCTTGGCTTGCCGTGTCCCAAGTTAGTTTAAAAATATATTCTTCTGCTGGGAGCGGTGGCTCACATCTGTAATCTCAGCACTTTGGGAGGCCAAGGCAGGCAGATCACAAGGTCAGGAGTTTGAGACCAGCCTAACCAACATGGTGAAATCCCATCTCTATTAAAAATACAAAAATTAGCTGGGTGTGGTGGCACGTGCCTGTAATCCCAGTTGCACAGGAGGCTGAGGCAGGAGAATCACTTGAACCCAGGAGGTGGAGGTGGCAGTGAGCCGAGATCACATCACTGCACACTCCAACCTGGGCAACAGAGTGAAACTCCATCTCAAAAAATATATATACACATATATATATATATATATATATATATATATATATATGTATATATTCTTATAAATTCTCATTCAAGATACATATTGGTTTTTGTTTAATGTTTAATACATTTTATCCATTTATTTGGAGTCCAACATTCTCCACTTCTGGGAAAATAACCAGTTGTGCCAGGACCGTTTACTAAATAAACTTTCTGCAGTTTCGTAGCTTTGTTAATTTCTCGATGGATAGTTTCTTTTTTCTCTTAACATGTGTGATTATTGCTATTCATTTTTTGTCATATGTTGCAAATATTTTCTCCTTGCCTATCAATTATCTTTTAACTTTGTGGTGTGTTTTTACTTTGATGTAGTTACATCTGTCTTTCCCATATATGCTTTGCTTTGTGTATTTTGGTCCCATAGAAGAGTATAAATATGCCGATCTGTATCTTTTGTAACAGCTTTATACTTTCTTTCCTTTTCCTCTTTTTTGAGACAGAGTCTTGCTCTTATTGCCCAGGCTGGAGTGCAATGGCGCAATCTCAGCTCATCACAACCTCCGCCTCCCGGGTTCAAGTGATTCTCCTGCCTCAGCCTCTGAGTAGCTAGAATTATAGGCGCCCACTACCATGCTTGGCTGATTTTTTATATTTTTAGTAGAGATGGGGTTTCACTATGTTGGTCAGGCTAATCTTGAACTCCTGACCTCAGGCAATCCACCCGCCTCTGCCTCCCAAAGTGCTGGGATTACAGGCGTGAGCCACTGCACCCGGCCAGCTTTATACTCTCAATGCTTTCTTCTATAATCCATCTGGAATCTACTTTAGGGTCAAGCCTTCTTTATTTTTCCAAATGATTAACTAATTATCCTCATACCAGTCATTCTTTCCCACTGATTTGAAAAAGCTTGACTTCTTTTTTTTTTTTGAGACAGAGTCTCACTCTGTCACCAGGCTGGAGTGCAGTGGCACAATCTAAGCTCACTGCATCCTTTTCCCTCCTGATTCAAGTGATTCTCCTGCCTCAGCCTCCCGAGTAGCTGAGACTACAGGCACACGCCACCACGTCCAGCTTATTTTTGTATTTTAATAGAGAGCATGTTTCACCATGTTGGCCAGCATGGCCTCGATCTCTTGACCTCGTGATCTGTCTGCCTTGGCCTCCCAAAGTGCTAGGATTACAGGAGTGAGCCACCGTGTCCGGCCATCTTGTCATCTTTTAAAAATGCACCTATTGACATGGCCTTATTCCTTTTCGTCTTTTGATGTGTTAATGGGTCCACCTCTCAGTTGCTGGAGCCCATCTGCCTGAAGTGCAACTGGAGCCACCTCCTCCAGGAATGGTCCCAGGCTCCCAGTGGGGCCGTAGCTGCAGAGTGTACTCTTCAGGAATCCTAGGAAACGGAGTGAACAATTGGATTTCTCCTGAGACTGATGCCACCATTTAAACTGGAAAGGCAGTCAGTCAGGAGCGAATGGGAAACCGAGGGGAAGGCATTCTCAGATCACTCCAGCAGAGCCCAGCGGACGGGCTTTGTGGACCCCGCCTGTGGAAGGGTCACCAAGGCGTCATTCTACCAATGCCCTCAAACTGCTGATGAGTAGCCTCTGAGAATGAAACAGGAGTCCCAGCCCCTCGCCTAGTTCCCTGTTCTTGGCTTTGACATGCAGGGACCCACAACTTTAAGAAGAACACACATGAAGGGCAAATCAGTCTTTCCCTGAGCATCTACCATGTGCACTGAATGAATGAGGCCACGATTGAAGGTGCTGCCTCTCATCTCTGCTTCCAGCAAGACCGTCTCCTTCTGAGTGTGTAATCTTGAGACTACATGTGGCAAACTCACTCAATGGAGTATTCAAAAGATATTTCAAAGTGAGGATTTCCGTTTGGATCTATGGGCTGTAAGTGTTAGATGAAGTGACTAGGAAAGCATTAAGAGGTCATTGATTAGAATCAGAATTCTTCTCAGAACAAAGAAAATCTTTGTTCCTTTTTGGGAAGGTGAAAAAAATTTTGATTTTGTAATAAGATTTTGCTGCTTCTGCTAAAGCTTCCAAGCCATGCTGGACTGAGCAACGCTGTGGCCTACAGAATGACAGCCAAGATGCAATGTGTCTGTGGGTTGCATGCCCCACCCGGCCCAAGCTAAAGTGGGGAAGGTCAGCCTTGCTTCCTCCAGGGCCTTGCCTGGGCCCATCCCCACAATGCCTTCCTCTAACCTAATGAATTACTGTCATGGATTTTCCTGTTCTGACTCATTCTTGAATTACTAGGTGAAGACTGACTTCGTCCTGATGCATCTTTGTTTTAAATACTTCTGGATTTGATTTGTCAATCATTCAGGAATGTCTTTCTTAGCTTCCAAGTCCACAGATATTCAGAGCAGTTCTTCCTAAAACAAAATGAGATTGCAGATGCATAAGCCATCGCCTCCCCAATCTTAACACAATTTGGACAAGTGACAAGTCATTTAACCAGTGTACACCAGTGAGTCCCAAGAATAGATTGAAACATTTCCCCAGAAACTAAAAATGCAAGGTGAAGAGGCTGAAAAAAGTAGTTAATTTCTAAATATTGACTCTATTTAGTTTCTGGCTTTGACAAGAAGTGACCCCATTTTCCATTCAAACTGTGATTGGTCATCCAAGTTATAGACTCCTAAGATAAGCTGAATCAAAAATTTCAGAATTTAATTGCCATGAGATTTCTGATTCAAGTTTATCCAAAATCAGACACAAATACTCTTCTAAGACATTAAGCCATTAAGCTGGAGATTTGTATGTGTGTGAGGAAGGAAATTAATCACTATGGGATAAGACACTAGGTTCAAATTTCAAGTCAACCAAGACAAATTCTTAACTAATCTGTGTACTCTTTGCCCCCAAGCCTACAGCTGCCAGTTATGTGAGTTGACAATTATAACCATATTTGCTGCTGTTTCTGACAGAAGACAAGCCAAAGTCGCTCTTTCCACATGTGGGTTTTTATTTCTAGCCCTTCACATGGGCCACAGAATTGCCTGTGGCTTCCAAATCTTCATAAGCAGTTTGTTGTTGCTCTCCTGTATGTTATTAGGTGGATTTGCCCTTTGATTCTCATCGCTACCATCTCTGTTTAATCACTCCTTTAGGGTATTTAGACAAGAGAGTGTGTGGGGTCAAACCCGCTAGCTGCATGCCTGGGTTTTCTGCATGCAGGTCAGATATTCCTGTACATCCTCTGGGGACCCCAGAATGAGGGGGACTCGCTGGTGAATTGCCTCGGGCTGTATGTCCAGTACTGGCTGGGTCCCTGTGGTCGCCAAGCCTCCTGCCTGCTCAATGATGTAAGCCACAGGATTGCATTCATACAGGAGCCGGAGCTGTGGAGGAATAGAGGCAGGTGAGAAAACTCTGCAAGTGGCCAATGTCCTGAGCCATGCCCCTGAAGCTGGGGGAGGAGTTTGCACGGCCGAGCTTCCATCTGGCTAGTGTTAAGTTGCACCGTGCACCTCACAAGAGTGGGCCTGAGCTTGAGAACCTACAGCAGGCCAGACGCATCAGATGGCGCTCATCCAGAAGCCTTGGGGGTCCCTCTGGCCAGATGGCTGAGCCATGGATCTACCCATCTTGTCCCTGTGCTTATGAGAGACCTGCCTCTTAACTTGGAGATAGGAGACCTAGGCACCTATTTCTTGGTTCCAACAATGAGGTAAACTGAGGCTGCAGGCCTGGGTAGAAGCCTTTATATGTGAGACCTCAAGGCTGGTAAGGAGTCAAGCTTGGATGGGTCAGTAAGGTCACCTTGAGCATGCCACAGTGGCTGGGACTGCGTGGAGGAACGCCACATCTTAAGCTTTGACGTCGCTAGTTTGTTGGGGTTTCAATGGTCTTGTCTTTTGCCCCTTAGACTAAGGAGCAGAAATCCCAACATTTGTACTCCCATAGTGCTGTACGTCCCCTCTGGTACCACTCATCACACTGAGGCCTCTTTAATGCCTGGCTTCCTCCTTAGCCTGCTGTCTGTCCTAGTTGATCACTGTACTACCTCAATTCTCAGCAGTGCCTGACACAAAGAAAGTGTGTTGGCTGATGCCTTTAATCTCAGCATTTTGGGAGGCTGAGGCAGGAGGATCGCTCGAGTCCAGGAATTTGAGACCAGCCTGGGCAACACAGTCAGACTCCATCTCTAAAAGAAATTTAAAAATTAACCAGGTATGGTAGTGTATGCCTATGATCCCAGCTATTCACAGGCATATGAATGGGAGGAAGCTGAACGGGAGAATCAACTGGGCCCGGGAGTGCAAGGCTGCCATGAGCTGTGATCACACTACTGCCCTCCGGTCTGCAGGACAGAGCAGGACTTTGTCTCAAAAACAAAGTGTCCAAGCGGGGCTACTGTGCTTCCTGCGTGAGAGTTCCCAGAAATCAGCCCGAATCCTGCTTGCCAGTCTCTGCAAAAGACCCAGGGCTGAGCCTGTTCAGAGGAAGGCAGGCCTTCTCTAACCCTCCTGCAGGCACATGACAACTGGCAGGAGGCTCCCTGTGTCCAGTGAGTCTGCGGTGAATTGAAATGAATGGGGTTGGGTTGAATGGACCTTTCAGGTCTATTTCTATGATGTTGTCATGACCCGCAGGCCTGATACACGGCACACACACATCACATTAGAACAGGGCGTGGTTCTGGCTGGAGGCACTGCCTCTGGGGGTGACCCAGTATCATCTTCTCCTTTCTCCCCATTGGTACAACCTGTGTAACTTCCCAAAAAGTTCATTTTCTATTATCAGCTTACTAAATGGTTGACCCAGCTGTGTGCAGCCTTTCCTCACCATTCTTTCCTTCCAGTACATTTTGGTGATATCTTTAAACTACTTTGAGAAACAGTCCTATATTATGGTAATTTTTTTCTATTTTTCTATTCTATAAGTATATATTATTATATTATATTATATCATATTTTTTTCTATTATATATATTAAGGAGAGGAACACAATATCTTTGGTCTAGGCTGGAGATCCAGGCATTCAGAAGAAAGTAGGTGAAGACTCCTAGAGGTATTTCCTGCCATTTTGGTCAGACAGTGTAACGTGCCCTCACCGAGACCTCTGACTCTTGAAGTAGTGGGTGCCCAGGAGGGTGTACAAAAGCTGTGGTACATGCAGGCTGTATGCGGGTGGTTCATTCTGTCCTTCGTCACCCACAGGAGGGACCCTGGAAGCCAGGCTGTCCAGGACAGTCTAACCAGGGAGACCCTCATCACGGCAGCTTGTAGCGCTCAGCATTTTTCTCCCCCTTTATGGGAAGGGGGATTTGGAGCATCAGACAATAAAGTCTCAGATTGTGATCAATTACCCTGTTGATTCAAATACTTTAACCAAAAAAGCTCAGCATTGGTACATACGTGCTTGTCTCGGAGCCAAGTTATTTTTGCCATGACCTCAGATGCCCCATTGTAGGAAATTTAACACCAAATGGGCAGGACTTCAAGGAATCTTGGCCTGCAGGCCATGTGACCTAAATTCTCTCTGCAATGAAATCTACACAGCTATACAGATGAAGGCACACACAGGCTGGGAGTGTGCACATGCACACGCAGACACACACACACAGGTGTTGTCACAGAGACCACGACAGCAGACACGGAGATCAGGAACTAGCAGAATTCGCCGTACAGGTGGTAGTTACGTGCAGCGAACACAGGTCTATCTACGGAGCAACACGTGCTTACAGGACATGCGCGTGTGATCCCATGTGGGCATTTCTGACTCACTTACGACCATTTGAATGATCAATGATCATCCGTCTTCATGTTCTCCCCAAGGGTAACTGTGTACGTGACCAGAGTGGTTCTGTCTAAGAATTTCCACGTCTCCCACTCGTCTCACTTAGTACGATAATCCTCCATAGCAGCTTGCTTTCCTTCAGCACCTCTGCTGCAGGCTCACCGGTGTTCTGAGTTCAGTGGGTGAATACACCGGGGCTAAGCACGCACATGAAGAGAAACGCCTGATACACCAGCCTATGAACATCTTCTCTCTGGCTAGATCTCTTAGCATGGCTTTGAATCTAAGCATTCCGACAATTCAAATCTCAAGGCGACTCTGCGTGACGGAAAAATGTGTGGCTGGTTGTTGGTATGTCAGAGAAAATAGAGGCCTTTATTTGATTTCACCACCACTTACCTATGAGTTCTGCGATTGGCTAAGATTCAGATGCATTTTTATGGGAGATTCTACTTAAGATAGCTGGATCATAAGGTTCTCGATTGATAATACAAGTATTTTCAGTTTTGCATCAAGTTGCAATCAGACCTTCCAAGAACTACCTTTCCAGATATATTTGCTGAGTTCTGAGCAGAAGTTCTTATTCTGGGGACTGGAAATTCTCTAGGGGATACATGAGTGGACTCACAGTATCAGCGAACCCCCTCAACATGTAATGTGTATGTCATGTGTATGTTTACCTGCATTTGTTCTTGGAAGTATGTTGATAAGTTTTATTAGGTGCCCCGTGGGGGTTCTTGATCACAAATCAGCTGGTGCTGAAGCTAAAAGTCAGGTATACCCTGTGAAAGTCAGACACACAGCCGGCTCATGGTGAATGGTGGGTGTGGGGCCAGAGGGCAGAAGACCAGTGAGAATCACCAGTCACATAACGTCAGCCTGTCAGCCTTCTCCTTCTCGAAACGTCCCATGGCCTGAAGACTCAAGGGAAATAGAGCTCATTTTTCCTCCCCTACCCATCTCCATACAGACATGCTACAGAGCAGTGCAGTAGCCAAACAGCAGGCCTGAGACGAGGGAGTGCCCCCTCCTCCCTGACCAGATGCACAGCCAGTGGACAAGGGAGAATTACCTTGCCCTTAGGGCTCTTCTGGTTGGCTGGGTACATGAAGATTCCTCCATAGACCAGGGTGCGGTGCACGTCGGCCACCATGGAGCCCACATACCTGGCCCCATAGGGAGCACTGCCATCCTAGAAGACAGAAAGAGAAGAGATAAGATCCAGTGGCTCTCAGGATTAGCCAGCACCTGCCTGCGGTCAGAAGTCCAGTTGATGTGACCTCTGCATTCCTGATCCCCTATCCTCTGCCCACTAGTGCAGGAATTGAAAAGATGATGTAATTGTGCATTTCATTCATTATGAGCTCCTCAAGCCTCGTCATGTTACTGGACTTACTAAATGTAGGACTGCTTAAAGTACGAGAGAATATCCTGCAGCAATCTTAAAAGAGCAGCTAAACAAACACAAAGAAAGGAAAAGGAAGTCGCCCATCCACATGCAGTGCCACCTATGGGCTCAAAATAAAGGGATGGAAGCCTAGCATACAGAAAACAGAAAACAGCTGGGGCTGCAATCCTAATTTCAGACAAAACAGACTTTAAACCAACAAAGTTCAAAAAAGACAAGGACATTACATCATGGTAAAGGGCTCAATTCAACAAGAAGACTAACTATCCTAAATAATATCCACCCAACACAGGGGCACCCAGATTCATAAAGCAAGCCTCAGAAACCTTCAAAAAGACCTTGACTCCCACACAATAATAGTGGGAGACCTCAACAATCACTGAAGCAGAAAATTAACAAAGATATTCAAGACCTCAAATCAACACTAGACCAAATGGATCTGTCAGACATCTATAAAACTCTCCACCCTAAACCAGCAAAATATACAATCTTTTCATCACCATACAGCACATACACTAAAATTGAACACAGAAGCGGACGTAAAACATTCCTCAGCAAATGCAAAAGGACGGAACTCATACCAACGACTCTCAAACCACAGCTCAATAAAAATAGAAGATTAAGAAAATCACTCAAACCATACAATTACATAAAAATTAAACAACTTGCTCCTGAATGACTTTTGGGTAAATAATGAAATTAAGGCAGAAATCAAGAGATTTTTTTTGAAACTAATGAGAACAAAGATAAAATAACCAAATTTCTAGGACACAGGTAAGGCAGTGTTAAGATGGAAATTTATAGCACTAAATGCCCATATCAACAAGTTAAAAAGATCTCAAATTAACAACCTAACAGTACAACAAAAAGAACTAGAGAAGTAAGAGCAAACCAGCCCCAAAGCTAGCAAAAGACAGGAAATAATCGAAATCAGAGCTGAACTGAAGGAGATTGAGACACACACACACACACACACACACACACACACACACACACAATTCATTGCTGCCTACATGGCTCATGGCTCCCAGCACTTTGGGAGGCTAAGGAAGGTGGATCGCCTGAGGTCAGGAGTTCAAGACCAGCCTGGCCAACATGGTGAAACCCCATCTCTACTAAAAAGAAAAAGAAAATAGCTAGGTATGATGGCAGATACCTATAATTCCAGCTACTTGGATGCTGAGGCAGGAGAATCACTTGAACCTGAGAGATAGAGGTTGCAGTGAGCCAAAATCATGCCATTGCACTCCAGTCTAGGTGACACAGCAAGACTCCAACTCAAAAAAAAAAAAAAATTCAAAATATCACTGAATCTAGGAGTTTGTTTTTTGAAAAAAATAAAAACTAATAAGATAGACTGGTCACTAGACTAATAAAGAAGAATAGAGGGAAGATCCAAATAAATTCAACTAGAAATAACAAAGGGAATATTACCACTGACCCTGCACAAATACAAACCATCAGAGACTACTGTGAACACCTCTCTGTACGTGAACTAGAAAATCTAGAGGAAATGGATAAATTCCTGGAAACATACATTCACCTAATGTTGTATTGGACTGAGCATAAAAAGTCAACACCAAGACAAAAGTATGTCAAATTGCAGGGTCATTTATTGCCAGCGACCACGGAGGACTCATGTCTCTCCAACCTGTGGCTCCGAGTTCAGGGGGAGAGGGGATTTTAAGCTGAAAAACCACATCCTGGTTTCAGGGTGAAGGGATGCAGGGCAAGCAATTTTTCAGCATTTATTGATAAGCAGAAGCAAGCACTTTTCATAGAAGCCAAGGTCAGCAGTTATTGCAAAGAGAATGGGGAAGCCATTACAACTTATTTTAAGAACAGCTTTGTCTTTTACAAAATGGCATTTCTCAGGTTCTAACTGTTAGGCTAGCCGTGTTACACTAAGACAGCCAGGAAGAAACTGAATCCCTGCACAGACCAATAACAAACTCCAAAATTATATCAGTAAAAGTAGCCTGGTAATAAAAATAACCAAAAAAACCCACGACCAGAAAGATTCACAGTTGAATTCTACCAGATATACAAAAAAAGAGCTGGTACCATTTCCACTGAAACTGTTCCAAAACTTTGAAGAGGAAAGACTCCTCCCCAACTCATTCTACAAGGCCAACGTCATCCTGATTCCAAAACCCAGCAGACACAAAACTAAAAAGTTCAGGCCAATACCCTTGATGAATATTGATACAAAAATCCTCATTAAAACACATAGCATCAGCAAATTATAATGCTTATCCATGACAATCAAGCAGGCTTTATTCCTGGGATGGAAGGTTGGTTCAACTTACACAAATCAATAAATGTGATTCATCACATAAGATGAACCAAGGACAAAAGCCACCTGATTTTTTCAATAGATGCAAAAAAGGCTTTCAATAAAATTCAATACCGCTTCATGTTAAAAACTCTCAACAAACTAGATATTGAATGAACACACCTCAAAATAATAAGAGCCATCTATGACAAACCCGCAGCCTACATTATACTGAATGGGCAAAAGCTGGAAGCACTCCCTTAAAAACTGGCACAAGACAAGGATGCCCTCTATCACCACTCCTGTTTAACATGGTATTGGAAATTATGGACAGGGCAATCAAGCAACAGAAGTAAATAAAGGGCATCCAGATAGGAAGATAGGAAGTCAAACTATCCCTCTTTGCAGATGACATGAATTCTATGTCTATAAAAGCCCATAGCATTGGTCCAAAATCTCCTTTTGGATAAACAACTTCAGGAGAATTTCAAGATACAAAATCAACATACGAAAAATCATTAGCATCCCTATACACCAAAAACAGCCAGGCCAAGAGCCAAATCAGGAACATAATCCCTTTCAGAATTGCCACAAAAATAATAAAATACCTAGGAATAGAGCTAGCCAGGGAGGTAAAAAGATATCTACAATGAGAACTACAAAACATTGCTCAACAAAATCAGAGATGACACAAACAAATGGAAAAAAATCCATGCTCATGGATATAAACTGTCAATATTGTTAAATATTGGCCATACTACCCAAAACAATTTACAGATTCAGTGCTATTCCTATCAAACTACCAATGACATTTTTCACAGAACTAGAAAAAACTATTTTAAAATTCGTATGGAACCATAAAGAGACAGACTAGCCAAGACACTCCTAAGCAAAAAGAACCAAGCTGGTGGCATCACATTACTTGACTTCAAACTATAATGCAGGGCAACAATAACCAAAACAGCATGGCACTGCTAGAAAAACAGACAAATAGACCAATGGAACAGAATAAAGGATCCAGAAATAAGGCTACACACTTACTTTTGACCATTTGACCTTTGTTTTTGACAAAGTTGACAAAAATAAGCAATGGGGAAATGACTTCCTATTCAATAAATGGGGCTGGGATGACTAGCTAGCCGTATGCAGAAGGTTAAAACTGGACCACTTCCTTACACCATATACTAACATTAACTCAAGATGTATTAAAGGCCTAATGTGAAACCCACAACTACAAAGACCCTGGAAGACAACCGAGGCAATACCATTCTGGATGTAGGCATGAGCAAAGATTTCATAACAAAGATGCCAAAAGCAATTACAACCAAGGCAAAAATTGCCAAATGGGATTTAATTAAACCGAAGAGCTTCTGCACAGCAAAAGAAACTGTCAATAGAGTAAACAGACATCCCGCAGAATGGGAGAAAATTTCTGCAAACAATACATCTGAGAAAGGTCTAACCTATAAAGAACTTAAATATACAAGGAAAAAAAATTTAAAAGTGGGCAAAGGACATGAACAGAAGAAACTACTTTTCAAAAGAAACCAAAAAGCATATTTGAAAAGCTCAATATTGGCCTGGTGCAGTGGCTCACACCTGTAATCCCTGCAGTTTGGGAGGCGGAGGCTGGTGGATCACGAGGTCTGGAGTTCAAGACCAGACTGGCCAACATGGTGAAACCCCATCTCTACTAAAAAATTTAAAAAAAAAATTAGCTGGGCGTGTGCCTATAATACCAGCTACTTCAGAGGCTGAGGTGGGAGAATCGCTTAAACTGGGACCCAGGAGGCAGAGGCTGCAGTGAGCTGAGATTGCGCCACTGCACTCCAGCCTGGGCTACAGAGCGAGACTCCATCTCAAAAAAAAGCTCAATATCACTGATCATTAGAGAAATGCAAATCAAAACCGCAATGAGATACCATCTCATACCAGTCAGAATGATTTCAAATGTATTTTTAAAAAATCAAAATACAACAGATGCTGGCAAGGTTGCAGAAAAAAGGGAATGTTAATGCATTGTTGGCGGGTAAATCAGTTCAACCATTGTGGGAAGCAGTGTAGTGATCTCACAAACAGCTAAAAACAGCCATCCCATGACTGGGTGTATACCCAAAGGAATACAAATCATTCTGTTGTAAAGACACATGCACGTGTATGTTCACTGAAACACTGTTCACAACAGCAAAGACGCGGGATCAACCTAAATGCCCATCAGTGGTAGACTGGATGAAGAAAACGTGCTGCATATGCTCAATGGAATACTATCCAGCCATTAAAAAGAATGAGATCGCGTTTTTGCAGGAACATGGGTGGAGCTAGAGGCCTAATTATCTTAAGTAAACTAACACAGGAATAGGGAACCAAATGCTACAAGTTCTCATTTATAAGTAGGAGCTAAATGATGAGAACACATGGACACTAAGAGGGAAACAGCAGACACTGGGTCTACTTGAGGGTGGAGGGTTGGAGGAGGGAGAGGAGCAGAAAAGATAAGTACTGGGTACTA